CAGCAGTGATGCCAGTCAGTGCCGTCTATCAGTACCCATCATCAGTGTCACCTATCAGTGCCGCCTATCAGTGCTGCATATTAGTGCCACCTATCCGTGCCACCTCAATAGTGCTGTCTATATCAGTGCCGCCTATCCGTGCCACCTCATTAGTACTGCCTATCAGTGCCCATCAGTGCCGCCTATCAGTGCCAATCAGTGCTGCCTCATCAACGCACATCAGTGAAGGAGAAAAATTACCTGTTTGAAAAATTTTATAATAGAAACAAAGAAACTTTTTTTTTTTTTTTTCAAATTTTTTGCACTTTTTTTATTTATAGCGCAAAAAAAAATAAAACGTGCAGTGGCGATTAAATACCACCGAAAGAAAGCTCTATTTGTGAGAAAAAAATGATCAAAATTTCATATGGGTGCAATGTTGCATGACCGCGCAATTGTCAATCAAAGTGCGGCAGCGCTGAAAGCTGAAAATTGGCCTGGTAAATAAGGGGGTATAAGTGCCTGGTAGGCAAGTGGTTAATAAAGGGACAGTGTAAAAAAATAAGTAAATAAATTAGACCAAAAAATAAAAAAGGAAAAAAGTAGACAAAAATAGTTTAAAGTGCCCCCGTCCTCCCGTGTGCACTCAATACTTGGTTGGGGCTCCTTTTGCATGAATTACTGCATCAATGTGGCGTGGTATGGAGGCGATCAGCCTGTGACACCAATAAGGTGTTCTGTAATGAATCTATATAATATAGGAATTTCACTTTTTGAACTGAATTACTGAATTAACTTTTTGATGATATTCTAATTTATTGAGATGCACTTGTACTCTATGATAACAGAAATCTGCAGTAACATATGTACTTTGGACAAAAACAATAAAACATCTACAACAGCTTACTCTTTTCTACTGTCAGTGAGCACTGTAAACAGAAAACCTCTGAGCAGATGCAGGACACAAATAGGATTTTATAACAGAGTAAAGAAAACTTCAAGGACACTGCAGGAATTTTAGAAGCACTCAGTCTCCGTAGTCCCTGATGGGGAAAATAGAATACAGGACCATAGGCTAAAAATGCCGACATGGCACTGATGGCAGGATTTCATTACACTGCAATTTGATGATTCATAGCCATTAAAGAGGTTTTTTTTACCTAATCAATTATAAGTGATCTCCTGCACCCTCTGCAGCCACTTTCTATCTACATATACAATCACTGGCCACTTAATTAGGTACACCTGTTCAATTGCTTGGTAACATAAAATGTTAATCAGCCAATCACATGGCAGCAACTCAATGCATTTAGGCATGTAGACGTGGTGAAGACAACTTGCTGAAGTTCAAACTGAGCATCAGAAGGGGGAAGAAAGTTGATTTAAGTGACTTTGACCGTGGCATGGTTGTTGGTGCCAAACGGACTGGTCTGAGTATTTAAAAAACTGCTGATCTGCTGGGATTTTCACGCACAACCATCTCTAGGGTTTATAGAGAAGGTCCGAAAAAGAAAATATACAGTGAGCAGCAGTTCTGTGGACAAAAAAGCCTTGATGTCAGAGTAGAATGGGCAGCCTGGTTCAGCTGTGACATTCAGATGGTAGGGTCAGAATTTGGCATAAACAACATAAATTATGGATCCATCCTGCCTTGTATCAAGGTTCAGGCTGGTGTTGGTGGTGTAATGGTGTGAAGGATATTTTCTGGCACTAGCAAGGTGTACCTAATACAGTAACCAGTGAGTGTATACTTTAGTGATGGCAGCATGGCATTTCTCAGGGTGGGGATAAAAACAGTGGACCATGCCATGCAATGGCCTCTTCAAAAGAGCTCTATCAAAAGCCCATGTAACAGGGTGATCGCATGGGAGAACAATTGGGACACAGTATTGTTACCTTATTACAAGACGTTTCTGAGCAAAGACTTTCATGAGAGGATAAAGTCTGCTTAGAAATTCAGAAGTCAAAATGCTTCAGGAAAAAAAAAAAAAAGTACATTTATGCATCGTAGCTTGGGGTTCTGCACTGCAACTCATGTCACCATTCCAGTGAGATCTTGAGAAATAGTGAGCACTCAAATCTTGCTAGAAGACACTCCTGAACTGTCCTGGAATGTGACCCGGAGTGCTCAGCATTTCCTGGGAACTTACAAGATGGACTGTGTTGTTACTCCCAGCCTAGGCATAAAGAGCAGGGAAGCCATGGGAAAGGTATATAATCACAGGTATAGGGCACCCTCCGGCTACCTTATCAGACTTTCAGTGGGCGGTAAAAATGCAGCTGAACTGCCTGTTTTAACCACCTGTGTGAATGAGGCTTAAAAACGTGTCAGTCATGAACCACAGGCCAACTGTGGAACAGTGCATTCTTACCAAAAGTGAACATACACCCTTTTCTCTCTGGTCATACATACATGCTCACATAATATAAGCTTCTCTTGCACAGTAAATTATTCTGTTTGACTGTCATATAAAGAAGACAGTCCTGTCTTATGACAAAAGCCAAGACACTGGTCACAAGCTTTCTCCAGAAGAGGCCTTATATTGCAGGAGAGCTAGTCATTAGGCACTGTAATAAGTCTGAGCTTTACTTCTCAGGAATTAATCAATTGATCTTTAGGCTTTGGCCATGAAATTGCTTCCATGTGTATATACATTTGGAGGGTGTTGTAGAAATGAGGCTGGTGTGTAAAGAATGACTAAGGTCCTATATACAGGGATTGGACAAAAAAAATAAAAATGGAAACGCTACATAATTTGCAGGTGACATGTTTTTGTGTCGATGGAACGATCTTTTGCTTCCACCTAGCTAACACACACAGAGCAAGATAAAGGGGGAGGATGAAGCTGGATGTAGGCGATAACAGGGGGCTCCATGTAAACATACAGCAAAGGGGGGTGGAATTGAGTCTGGAGAGTATGTGGGGTTCCTATGTAAATGTGGAGTAGAGACAGTGCAGTTGTGATGGCAAGGGTATATATTTAATAATAAAAAAAACAAAAAACACTATATTGCCAAAAGTATTGGGCCAGCCCTCCAAATCATTGGATTCAGATGTTCCAATCACCTCCATGGCCACAGATGTATAAAATCAAGCACCTAGGCATGCAGACTGCTTCTACAAACATTTGTAAAAGAATGGGTCACTCTCAGGAGCTCAGTGAATCCAAGCGTGGTACTGTGATAGGTTGCCACCTGTGCAATAAATCCATCCGTGAAATTTCCTGGCTACTAAATATTCCACGGTCAGCTGTTAGTGGGATCACAAAGTGGAAGCAACTGGGAACAACAGCAACTCAGCCATGAAGTGGTAGGCCACGTAAAATGACAGAGCGGGGTGTGTGTATGCTGAAGTGCGCAGAAGTCGCCAATTGTCTGCAGAGTCAACAGCTAAAGACCTCCAAACTTTGTATGTCCTTCAGATTAGCACAATAGTGCATAGAGAGCTTCATGGAATGGGTTTCCATGGCCGAGTAGCTGCACCCAAGCCTTACATCACCAAGTGCAATGCAAAGCATCGGATGCAGTGGTGTAAAGCACGCCGCCACTGGACTCTAGAGCAGTGGAGACGTGTTCTATGGAGTGAAGAATCACGCTTCTTTGTCTGGCAATCCGATGGACATGTCTGGGTTTGGCAGTTGCCAGGAGAAAGGTACTTGCCTGACTGCATTGTGCCAAGTGTAAAGTTTGGTGGAGGGGGGGGATTATGGTGTGGGGTTGCGCTTGACTTCTTAGTTTCAGTGAAGGGAACTCTTAAAGGGGAGCTCCACCCAAAAGGGGAAGTTTGGCTTTAAGGACCCCTCCCCTGCTCCCCATTAAGGATTGGCACCTTTGGGGGGGGACCCGAATTTGACAGGTACCTGCGCCCACTTCCAGTCGGATCGCCTAGGTGACCAGAAGGTGTCCTCCCTGTAGTCTTTTGGGACATGTGACAGGTCCTAGAAGACTACAGGACCATTCATGCAGCGCTACTTGTGCATGCGCAGTGGGTACCCGGCTGTGAAGCCGCAAGCTGTCACAGCCAGGTGACCACACTGAAGATACCGGCCTCCTGGAATACAGGACGGCCGGTGAAAAGGGCTGCAGGGGACACACAGAGGGACAGGTAAGTAGCTCTTTTTTTTTAAAAGTCAGCAGCTACAGTTTTTGTAGCTGCTTATTTTTTTGACAGGGTGAGTGGAACTCTGCTTTAAAGTGTCAGACATTTTGGACAATTTCATGCTCCCAATTTTGTGGGAACAGTTTGGGGATGGCCCCTTCCTGTTCCAACATGACTGTGCACCAGTGCACAGAGCAAGGTCTATTTAGACATAGATGAGTGAGTTTGGGGTGGAGGAACTTGACTGGCCTGCACAGAGTCCTGACCTCAACCACTTTTGGGATGAATTAGAGTGGAGACTGTGAGCCAGGCCTTCTCATCCGACATCAGTGCCTGACCTCACAAATGCACTTCTGGAAGAATGATCAAACATTCCCATAGACACTCCTAAACCTTGTGGACAGCCTTCCCAGAAGAGTTGAAGCTGTTATGGCTGCAGGGGGGGGGGGGGGGGGGGGCTCAATATTGAGCCCTATGTACTAAGACTGGGATGCTATTAAAGTTCAGGTGTAAAGGCAGGAGTCCCAATACTTTTGGATATATATATATATATATATATACATACACACAGTAGGATGAGGGGGGGTAGAAATGTGTGTAGTATACGATGACAGAGGTCCCATGTGTATATACAGCAGCAGAGGGGTGTAGAAATGAATCAGCATGCACGTGATGAATGAATTCAATGAATATATACAGCACAGAGGGAGGTGCAGACATCAGCCTGGTGTCTCCATGTACACATACAGCAGAGGGATGTAGGAGTGACACTGAACTGTAGGTGATGCCAGGAGCCTGTGTGTATATAAAAATAAATAATATATATATACACACACACAGCTGCCTATAGGACCCAGAGTGAGACTGTCTGAAATCGGCTTCCACACACACAGAAAATCTATCAGTACATACGATCAGTTACCTGAACACAGAGCCACAACCCGCAGACCAGCTCCCCCGCACCTTCCTTCCTGCACACCGGAAGTAGGAAGAAAGAGGCGTAGGGGGAAGGTGAAGGAGAGGACACGCCCGCACATAGGTGACACGTTCCGACTCTACCCGTGTGCTCCAGCCAGGGCGTTGGGAGGACGCCGGGCGATTGGGCGGAGTCTGAGCTTGCTGCAGTGCTGATAACCACAGAGCTGACTACGAGGAGAACGACTGGGTCAAAGGCAGTCACATGATAGTGTAGAGTGCTGGCTCCCCCTGCTGGGGGTTGGAGGTGCTGCTAATGTGTACTAGCTGCTTATGTGGGAACTGCAGGCAGAAGAGAACCCCCAGCAATGCAGTGATGACGTGTAAAGTATTCATTCCAGATTAAAGCTGAACAGTAGATTTTTTTCATATTTGGGGAGGGGCGGGAATACAGAACCAAACACAGTAGTTGCCTGTAATAAGGTGTAACTCCTTACCTGCAGGCTGCTGCTTCATGTAAACATCCTCCCTAAATGCCAGATATTGTCCAGAGCAACAATATCCCGGGGATAATAAGAGTGGCTACTAGTGCGTACGACCCGCGACACTCATTTCCTGTCTCCTGCCCCTTCACCATTCACAGAGCTATTGACCCCTTACATTGGTGGTCAGTGTAGATGTGGTCTCATACATTGGTGGTCAGTGTAGATGTGGTCCCTTACATTGGTGGTCAGTGTAGATGTGGTCTCATACATTGGTGGTCAGTGTAGATGTGGTCCCTTACATTGGTGGTCAGTGTAGATGTGGTCCCTTACATTGGTGGTCAGTGTAGAAGTGACCCGTTACATTGGTGGTCAGTGTAGAAGTGACCCGTTACATTTGTGGTCAGTGTAGATGTGGTCCCTTACATTGGTGGTCAGTGTAGAAGTGGTCCCTTACATTGGTGGTCAGTGTAGAAGTGACCTGTTACATTGGTGGTCAGTGTAGAAGTGGTCCCTTACATTGGTGGTCAGTGTAGATGTGGTCCGTTACATTGGTGGTCAGTGTAGATGTGGTCTGTTACATTGGTGGTCAGTGTAGAAGTGGTCCCTTACATTGGTGGTTAGTGTAGATGCGGTCCCTTACATTGGTGATTAGTGTAGATGTGGTCCCTTACATTGGTGGTCAGTGTAGATGTGGTCCCTTACATTGGTGATTAGTGTAGATGTGGTCCCTTACATTGGTGGTCAGTGTAGATGTGGTCCCTTACATTGGTGATTAGTGTAGATGTGGTCCCTTACATTGGTGGTTAGTGTAGATGTGGTCCCTTACATTGGCAGGAGAGGAGTGAAGGGAAATACTGTAGTGCAGGGGTCTCCAAACTTTTCAAACAAAGGGCTGATTTATGGTCCTTCCAACTTTAGGGGAGGGCCGGAGTGTGGCCAGTGGGGGTAGAAAATGTTTTGGGACTAGCATCAGTGAGAATAAACATGGCCTCAGGGATGGCGGTCAGTAGGAGGAAGAGTAGTGCCCCATCATTGGTATTAATGGGAGGAATAGAACCCCATAAGTGTTATCAGTGGAAGAAATAGTGCCCCATTGTTGGTGTCAGTGCACCAAGGGCCAGATAAAGGCTAGCAAAGGGCCACATCCGGCCCTCGGGCTGCAGTTTGGTGACCCCTGCTGTAGAGAATCAGTTGAGTGACAGCTCAGAGCCTACTGACATCACATCCAAGATGGCGGCACCAGCAACAGTTTCATGGCTTTTGAATGTCTACACAAGGGAAGTTTTAACTGGTAAATAAAATGCATAAACATTATTAAACACAGATATCATTTTATGACATGGTCTCTTTATAGATTAAAGGGGAACTACACTATATCTGAGCACCACAAACTGAAAACACTATGAAATTCATTTTTTATATTCACAACAAACTCTCCCATCCATCCATATCTCCATGCTTTATTCTGTTGAGAAATAACTTTGACACCTCCCCCGGCATTTCTAGCCATGGCCAGAAAGGGCAGATGATTCATGTAGAATTTACCTCCTGGAATCCATCTTCCCTTAGCTCAGGCATGCAGGCAAGAGGGTATGTGTACGTAATTGAGAAAGCCTCTTCTCCCCTTTTCCCCTCCTCCAGATGAAAGAACAAAATGCCCATGAAGACTCCTGGATGTATGAAATCATTTTGGTCTAGGCCAGAAACCAGGAAGCAGCTGAAGAAATGTAAAAAAAAAAGTATATATAATATACCTCCCTATGGACCTACGAGGGTTAGCAGCATACAGATTCAAACTATTTCATGTTGATTGAGAGACTTTAGTTCCTCTTTACATAGGTGTTCAGCTAGATTTCAGCATTGGGGTATATTGTACACAGGTGTTTGATATCATTTCTTTTCCATACATGTCAGTGTGTGTGCATGCTAAGCATGTCAGATACATCTCATAGGTCAGTGTACAAAAGTCCTTCAATTGCTGGAAAAAGTGACCACAAGGATTATTACTGTATCTACATCAAATAAAAATGGAATGCTGCTGACACCTGCTGGGCACTTTTACTTATTACAGATTCCTTTTAACTACAATAACACCAATTTTGTAAAAGAACAAACTTTGTAAATATGGGAAAGGCAAAAGCATCAAAACTGTAAGGTATATAATGAAATAATAACCCAAAGTATACTGTATTCTCTCAGAAAATGTCCTGGGCTTTCCCCCTTATTAAAACCAGTGTTTGGAGAACTACATTAGAGCAAACAGGTCTGTATGTCGTGTCAGTATTGAGTCAATGTATGGGAGAAATGTCAAGAAACAATGTGCATGTTCTGGAGAAAGTCACTAAAGGAAAGTATTTGTGATGCAAATAGGAGCCAATAGGATTCTTTGATCCAGTGTTTCTCGAAGTTCTTTAAAGCTGAATTCCAAATATGGATTTTTTCGCATAGGTACATTGGTTCAGCTTGGTCCAAGGTAAGTATGCATATGCCATACCTGTGGGACCAGTGTGAAAGTGGAGAATCACTGTAGTAGTCTTTGCTACTACAGTGATTGCCACAGTCTTCTGGGTCCTGTGCCAAGTGGCTGCCATGCTGCATAGTGAACACAGGGGCTTGCTTGATGGGTACAGGCGCTATTCACAGAACACCTTGCATTTTTCTCAATTAAAACAAAGCATATCTAATTGGAGAGAGTGGAGATCATGACATCACCTTTCCATCCTCTCCACTTCATCCAGTCAGATTCATTCATTGAGAATAATGCAAGGTGTTCTGTGAGTAGCACCATGCCAAGCAAGCAACCTCCTGCGTTCAGTAATCAGATCTACTGCCCTGTCAGAAATACAAATTTGGTGACTGGTAAACAGCTCTCATATACAGTATGTTTTTAATCTGTGTTCCGCTTTAAAAGCGGTATTAAACCCAAAACCAATCATGCACTATATTGCAGCTTACCAGTCATAAGATGTGATGGCTGCATCAGTGTTCGTTGGCTTCTCCCCCTATATTTTCACCTGGTGATCTGGCCAGTAACATACCTCCTGTATTAGTGAGACACAACTCTGGAGGAATGTGTACAGGACACGGCAGACAACAGTATTGTCAGTCTGGGATGGGAGGGGGGGGAGTGCTAAATATATTAGCAGATTTGAATACAAATAACAAATTGAGGCCAAACTCCAGCAAACACTTTATAATCAATTACAGTAACAGTTTTTTCTTTTGGATAAAAGTTCTATATGAATAAAAAAAAAATTGATCATTTTAATCACCCATCAGTGGTAAATGGATGGGCTTGTAAACTGACACATTCTGCTGGAGAGCTTAAATTTCTGAAAAACAACAGACTTGGTGGCTGAGTCACCAGATGAAGATAGAAGAAAGATAGCCAAAAAGGAAACGAATACAACCATCACATCTAAGAATTGAGAAGCTGCAATATAAAATATTTTTCTTTTGGGTTTAATACTGCTTTAACACTGTAGTTCACATCACACACATTCAACCAACTCTGGATTGAGAGGTCTGAAAACTGGTCTTTCAATGTTGCACACCCATTGCCGCACACATCTGTTCCTTAAGGGCATCATACACAACAGTGAGAACATTTTCTAGAGCTCTTAACATGTGGCCTGGAGGTAATTGTAAATCATACTAAATCACAGTGCTTTTATTCAACTGTGCGTGCCTTATTACTGCAGGGCAAGGTATGAGTTTCATTTAAAGCATATAACATTTCATTTAAAGCATATAACATTTGGGCCCCCTCCCCCTTTAAAAAATCACCCAATGTAAGTAGTTCCAAAATGTACTGAAAAAAAGATCCAATTTATGTGCCACTGCTTGCAGCAACCTATGCTTGCCCTTCGCTTAGCACTCTACATTCCATAACCCCTGGTTCACATATCTGCATTCCTGCGGGCCATGTTTTGCGCGGGCACAAGAGCCCATTCATTTGAATGGACTCCTGTGCCCCAGGACACGCAGGGAAGAAGTCCCTGCACTTCTTTGGAAACACCAGCCCTCGCGGGAACCTCAGTTCCCAGTGCAGTTGCGATTTCCAGTGCGGGCGGCCTGCCATTAGAATTAATGGAACCCGCCCGCAGGTCCGCATTCTTCTGTGTGGGTGGTGCGGCTGCACAAATTTTTGTGCGGATCCGCAGCGGCACCACCTGCACATATGTGAACCTAGCCTAAGTCAGGGTTTCTCAATCATTTCACCCGAGAGGAACCCTTGAAATAATTTTAAGTTCTCAGGGAACCCTGGCTAAAACTAGTGGGGAGAATGTCCCTTACATTTGTTGTAAGTAGGAAGGAGCTCCTTTACAGTGGTGGTCAGAATCAGGGGCGGACTGACCATTTGGAATCTCGGGCAGTGCCCGAGGGCCCGGGGTCAGTAGGGGGCCCCATGAGATGCCCCTGGTACCTTTTTCATAGGCTTTTTTAAGTTTGGGCAAGGACACAGGGGCCCCATGATCCCCTATTGCCCGGAGGCCCCATGAGTTGTCAGTCCGCCCCTGGTCAGAATGCCACCCTTACTAACAGCTAAGAAGATCATTAGTATCATGCCGCTCTGCTGAGTGGAATTGGACCTAGAACCCAGCAGGCATCATCAGAATAGAGGTCCTTTAGCTAC